CGGCACTACATCTCAGTAAGAAATGTCGTGTGACACCATGCTCCCATTCTTGCTCAGTGGTCCAAGCTGCGGTTATCAGACCAAAATTTCGGTTTTGTATTTTGGAAGATAGCAAATTGCAGCGGAATGGCGCTGCTACAAGCCGCTTGCTATAACTGCGGAGTGCGGATGGGGGCTCTCTCCTGGTGGAATGTGAGCATCGTCTACTCATGGGAATTATCATGTCGAGGATCTCATGAGCTTTGTAGAACGCGTTGATTTGCTGTTGTTAAATTTGTTTACGTTAATAATCATGCCAAATACGTTCAAACTAGTTGCCGTTTCTGACTTCAGTCTTCCGGACTTAATGTTAACTTTACTCATTGCTTCCGCCTTTAAAATATTTCGTCTAAATACCACATTTTCTGCTCTCTTATGATCATGTGTTCGAATTTCTGAGGAGCATCTTTACATTACTACAATAAAGTAATTACGGGTATCAAACCTTATCATGGCAACGTACTTGTGACGTATTCGAAGTCACGTGTGTGCAAGCGACGTAGAACAAGCTGCTCGACTGCTCCGTCCTCGGTACAAAGAGGCGAGTGATACCCGGTCTTGTGGAATTACGCCAGGATACAGACAACAAATGAGCCGTGTTCACCAGCATGTTTTCCCGGTGCAGATCCTTTTTCAAGCCACTATGCATTTTTTCATCTAAAATGCGGTAGATGTTAATCACTGGAGGTTCCGGACTGAGCACAGCGCTGCTGCATGTTAATAGTTGGCCAGGAAGCAGCGTTAGTTTACCACTGATTGGAGAAGGGTAAAATCGTGTTCTGTCATCGCCTCGCTCCACACATATGTATACGGCTCGCGATCGACGTGACAGTCGTCCTTGACTGAAGTTGAACTCTTCCTCTATATGATCCCAATAAGCAGGACGCCCGATAGACGGAGGCACCAACTATGGATGAGATGCGCACGTCACATATGCATCACGCATCGACGCATCAACGGTCATCTTCCAGGTTTTCACCATCCGGTCTGAGTACAAATCCAATAGCTGGATTCCATCGGAACCATTATCGACTTGAATTGCTCGATATGACTTCGTACCGGTCAGCAAGTGTAAATAAGCCTTCAGTCTGGTTCGTATGCTTCGATACCCATGAGTCATCATGTCTACATGTTCACAGAGCATCTGCGTCTTGAGACATGTGCAACGAATCACGAATTCGTCTCCGGCTTTAAGACATTTTCTGTTGGAATCCACGCTACCGTTACCCAACCGGTCAACGGTAACATTTGGCTGCCTGACGCCTGGTATTATACACAGTGGCTTAGAGCTTGTCTTTGACACATTCAGCAATCCATGTTCATTTCGGAGAGGCCGCAGTGTCGTGGTACAGCCGTAAAATCCGTAGTCATCGGCTGTCAAAGTGCGGATGTCCAAAGTATGGGCTTTGGACCACTTATGCTCCGGATATATGAACAGTCTTTCCGAGATGTTGCCTCGCTGAGATAATATCGTGACCTGTCTTCTGAGTAAAGAGAAGTGCAGAAGTTCCTCCACATCCGACGACGGAAGATTCTGCAAATACGACTGTCGGGTCCAGGTGATTTGCACCGGTCGGTACGTTGAAAACCATACACCAGAGAGGTCGGGACACTTTGCAGTCATGGATGCAGGAAGCACGACAAGACTAACATCCAGAATCACGTCGGTCTCCTGCTTTTTCAGCTGCACTGGAGACAAGGAATATCGCACATGCGGCTTGACCAACTTGTTGCGTGCGTTATTCCATCTTTCAGGCAGCACCCTCTTCCTGCCTTCCCAGGCAAACTCCATACTATGTAGATCTGCGAGAATTGCTGGCCTTACGACCGAAGTCCACAATGTATTCCCATAGTTGCTTGCGTCAATCTGGTCTTGTCCACACAATCGCTCCGGACCCGCGAATGTTCCTAGAGTAGAGCTGCGTCCTTTTGACGACTTCAGGTGGTAAACGTCGCTTTGTCTGTCAAAATACCAGTGCGATTTGCCCCATGGTGTACACTGCAGGTGAACACAACTGTCCTCCGCAAGATACTTCATACGAGCTACACCATGATCAAGTTGCAAGCGATAGCTCTGGACTTGTTCCCTTCGCATCGACATCACGGGATAGCGATCTATCTTCCAACTTGGTCGAATTATTTGCCCACGTTCCTCATGTCTATCCGCTCTCATTTTTACGTCTGTCCACGGCATAGAAGTAATCCCAGACGGCTTCTTAGGCACACCGATTCCGTCAACTTCCATGCCATTCGCATCCCTCAGAGTCTGAGCAGATTCAACTAATTTTTTGGATCCCATTACTGGCTCCCTAGTGAGCAATTCGGATCGTTTTCTTTGCGATTCGATCGGTTCACCGATTAACCCAAATGAGGACCATATTTGTTTTCTCAATTGGTTGACTGCTACATCACCCCCACTTCTTCGGTTTACTGGAATGCGTTCAGTAGCATTTTGAATTAGCCACCATTCTTCTGATCTCGTCATCATCATTCGTGCATTGTCAGACACATCTCCCGGAATATCGTCGCGCATCGTTTGCAACCAGTTCACTGGCAGTATTTCATTAGCAGATACACTAACTTGTCGATGTGGAAAGCTTCGTGTTTTTGGTGTTCTAAGTCTCTCCACCACACTGAAGAGACGTTTAGCGGATGAGGAAACGGATGTGCGCCCTTCATCCTCTTGTCCCAAAAGAACTGCATGCGCAGCTTGGCTTCCTATACTATCTGGCTGATCAGCTGAAAGTTGTGGACCTTCCATGGAATCCACGTCGCCTGACCCATCGGTACGCACGGTCTGCCCAATCTTGGACAATCGCCTGCTTCGATCCATCAAAGAAGGTATGAAATTGGTGGACACACCTTGGTCTGCTGTAATGATGTCCTCATGAGATGATGATATACGTGGGAAAATGCTTTTAGTTTGGGAGGTCGAATGAGCGCACAACTCGTCGGGAATTAGGACATCATCAGTCGATTCCGCTGTGCTATCGATAGTGGTTAGCTGCACCCATTCCTGTGGCTCACGTACAATCGACGGTACATCACTTCCTCCGCCACTTTGCAACTGTTGATAGTCCCTCTCCGACCAGTGTTCGACTAACGAATGCAGATAGTCGGGGCGCCTGTTCGACACAGTAGTGTCACTCGTTGAAGTGATACCCGTGATGTCGCTCCGATCCCACTCGAGACCTTGCGTCACGCTCCCAATATCCTGATCTCGCGCGGTGTTCACGTACAGTGTGACCAGAATTGAATTCCTCATCGTCCCATGTGGACACTCGCAAGTGGCGATGCAGCGAAATAAGTAGTTGCCACTTCGACGCAGTCGCTTGAGAATCAGTTTGTTGCTTGAACTGCTCAGCAAGTGTGCTTGATCGTATGACTCAGGTACGAGTTGCGGAATCGGACCGGCAACCCAAGTCCATGTAGCTCGAACGTGTTCGCAGCCCCCACGAGCTTCACAGCTGATCTCATCGTCCACTCCGTACTCTTTCTTATCACTGGGGCTCCATTCCAGTTTAGGTGTAGTGCACTCTGCCTTCACCGGATGGATTGTCCTGTCCATTGCTATCGTGCTGTCTGAAAATTGGCAGACCAAGTCATTCGCGAAATTGCCACTTGTCACATTCACGTGCACGGATATCTCACCCAAGATGACTCCGTGTGGATGGGGGGCCTGTAAGTACACGTTGTGCAATTCCTCGTTCTGACTGGCGCTTGATATTCGGAAATGCCTCAATAGTCGGCCGGCAGAATTAGTTGACCAAATGGAGCATCTGAACTGCGCTACTTGTCCCAACAGCACAGTGGGACACACCGATGACCACAACTTCCGTGCGTCCTGCACCCGCACTCCGAAAGCGAGGTGCTTCTGCATGCCATGGACCAATTGCGTTCTAGGGTTGGTTCGCAGGGTTGTGTTGTTCACGGTCTTCCCCGTGCAATAGTATTCCCCGTGGTCGAACTCCTGCAACGCAAATGGAATTTCGTGTGAGTTGTGTAATCTAGGACGGACCTGGGCACACCTTCTTCTTACTGTTAAGAAATTTGGGGTGAATCAGAAGTGATCTCACACTGTGAATAACGCAGCGGTGGCTCAAGTGTGTGCGTTCTAGCGAGAGTGACAAATAATACTACTTTTAATGCATGGCCTTCAGGCTACACCAATTCGTCCACTCTCCCCTTTACTGCCAATGACTATGGGTTGAGGCGCCACATTGCAGTGGGAACTAAGACCGCTTACAAAAGCATCACTATCTACAAATAGTACAATGGTTCAATGGTGTATGATGGGATAAAAAGCACAACTTTACAAGACCCACAGGATGGATATGCAAAAGAAAATTGAAATCAAAATGTTCCAACGTGGAACGTAAAGTATCAGTGGTTAAATCATTGCACTTTAGCAAAGTGTTGTGTATCCTTTATCACTGAAATGAAAATCCAAGAGTCTTTCGAATGTCGTCATGTCTGGAGGAAGGAGATATCGGCGGAGCTGATGGCAGTACCAGAGCAGCGGCCCACGGATGTTAACCGTTTACAATGACATAAAATCGAAGCGGATACATAAACCACAAACTGCACTCTGTACTACGCCAATTGGATGCTCGATGAATATCTGTCACCCAGGCGGAACATAGCAAAGGAATCAGAACTACACCGGACCACACCAACGATTGAGTAGTTACAAATATATGTAATGACACAGCTGTCCAAAATTAGATAAACCCATAGTACACAACGGCACTAATGGTGAGGACTCGGTGAGATTCCCCTTGACTAGTAATCGTGTGATGAGATTACAATGTGAGGAATCAGTGCCTCTAAACGCTGCACTTACCGAGATCGGTTGGACAACAATGATAGTGAGGTCCTCATCCATTATAAAAGACACGCTGGAATTTTCGGTGGACTTTGACGAAGGATTCAACAACTTGGTAGCCCACTGAGTTTCAGGTTCGCTTGCTAATCTATGCTTTGTTCGACGCATCAGAGAAAATATGGCCACACTGATATCATAATGTAGCCACGTGTAACGAACAAGACGATGTAAAGTGATGTACGTCAATTCCAACTGTGTCCCCATCGAGCAGTCATGATCCATCGCATCACCATCCAGTAGTATTTCGGGGCGTTGAATAGACAGTTCATCACTAACCATACGAATTAGCGTGCGGAGATTCTTGTGTAGAGATTGAAAGACGCATTGTAGCATTGCTTCTCCACGTCTGAGCCTACCGTGAATGTGTGATCGAGGCTTGAAGATAAAGCGGAAGTAGTAATTCCAGAGAGGTTTCGTCCTTCCGGAAGCCAACCGTGGATCCTTCAGGCTCGGTAGTGTTCGATCTACTTCCGTTGTGTAAAACCGCAGTTGCTTCGCCAGAGTTGAAGGTGAGGCTCGCAAAACTTTGATCAAACCGGAATTAATTGTTGGGAATGAGTAGGTTTCACAAAACCAGTATTCTCGCTCTGGGTCGAAGTAGAAGTTGGTAATTTGTGGAGGGAGTTCGAATCGAACAATAATGGAATCACTTGTGAGATCAGGAGTCGATTTTGTCTGATCTCCTCCAGTTGGTTGCAAGGTTATCGGTTCACAGAAACCGATCGCCATAAAGTCCACATGTCGGAGCTGTTTGATGGTTAGTCGTATGCTTCGGAACACTTCGAGGCTCGTAGGATTCCACTTCACTCCACATGATGTCTCGTAGTATAAGCTGAACCAGTTCTCTTCTTCCCCGATGTGCTGCGAACATGTCTGGTCTTCAGTAGTGACTGAAGTGCACACGTGCTCCGATTCTATCCAAATCGATTGGTTTGCTGTAGTCGTGGACACTTCCCCGTGTGGGTGCACCGCGCCGTCTACAGCACATACCACCAGCGAGAAATTCGCAGTCAGATAGTACATTTTAAGCGGGAGTCTGTGCGTCGTGACTGCTCCCTCACATCTCATATCCAACTGTGAGCCTTGTGGGAGAAGTCGATCGCCCGTGGATGGTTCGGTCCAGACCTTCGGTGCACTGGGGCAATTGTCGGGCAGATGCAACCTCGTTACTGGCTGACTTATCCACACCAACTCTGATTGTACCGGCAGACGGGATAGGACGCGCTTCTTGTGGGTCTCAGTCGACATCGGCTGTATCAAGCAGAAGAGCTTTCCCGGTCCCAAAGGCGGCCATAATTCATGCCAACCGATATGCACAATTGTCATCTCACCGAGTGGATTGAAGGCAACTTTCCTGCGTGCCACGATATAAAATCGCCCATTCGCATCCACAGCGAGGAGCACCAGGACCTCCGACCTTGGTGCGAAACCGCTCAAATGACAATCCAATACTGCTGCACCAGTTTCGAATGTTGGCCACTTGACAGTTAGACTGGGAGTACGCCAGTTTGGCTCCAAAACAGTCAGTGTTGCAGTGCTGTAGTTGACGATATCAGTGAGCTGCAGAATTGGGATCACATATAGCATAGTTAAGCGGTTGCAAATGACCTGCATAGCAATGGCGCTCGTATGGATAGTTTAAATGAGATAAAAGTGTCTAAAGTGTATTAGCACAGTTCTGCTGTTTTCCAACACAATATTCCGTTTTCTACGTCGCTAGCTTGTGCGCCCATGTGGGTTTCATATGTGTGGTAGCGTGAGCATTTCGGTCAAGCTACCTAGCTATGTGATCCGTGGCGCGTGCATGGCATAATTTTGTACACCGATTTAACTTCAAATTTTATGCCAACTTTTCGGGAAGATGCTCAGTCGATTCGATCGCACGGTTCTATCCAACACGCTAGTAGTACGCCACAAACGACTTCTTCGGCACTTCCTTCGCTTAAGTCCAGTCGTGCAACCTTACGTTTGTATTTCCCTCTGTGACCTTTAGATAATGTTCGACAGATACATTCTGAGGCAATATATGAGTCAGTGCTATACACCACTGTACATGTAGTTACAGGCTATTTTGTCCTCTCACATTTTACACTGCATTCTTTCATGCGCCTTACACCACAAAGCCTGTGTGCTTTCATTCCCCTGTGCACCGAGTGACGCGACACTAACAAACCAGCTGGCACAGCAGTTTCCGCTGACCGAAGTTGACGACCGACGAGACATGGTTCGGTGAAGTTTGCCAGTGGGACCTCTAGGGTAGAACAAACCTAGGGTCAATCACAGCTCAGACAAGTTAGCGACAGAATTACGTGCTCTCTGTGTGCCAATTTCCATGACAGAATAGAGGCGAAGTTGCGACTCAAGGAATAACACTGTGTACCAACAAGTCGTTTGTGGTTCGGTGACGTATGCTCAGAGAGTTAGGATTATGCAAACAGTTACGCAGAAGTGTGTAACGTTGGGTGTTGCGTCAGCAAAGCCAAAAGGACTGGGCGCGGTCTTCTGAGGGAAAATTTCCTACTTCAAGGCACAAAAGTGACAAATCATTTATCACCAATCCCTGGTATATCGAAAGACCAAACTCATTTTGCGAAAACCCTACACAGTCTGACAAAAACCAACCACCAGTGGTGACGAACAGCGGTGACGGCAGGCCAGTTTGACGATCAGCAAAATCTTATGAAGTGACGCAATGCATGAAGAGCCATGGACAAATTACACGGGTCACAACAACGGTGTCCGATGTCAGATGGGTGACAACAATCAACCCCTACAGGGAGTGCGACTTACAGCGTTGCACACAGCAGTAGTGGTTCACTTACAAAAAGAAGACTAGACAAACATATTTACATGGCAAATCTCCGCCCACAAAGGAACTCAAAACGAAGCGATGACGTTGATATTGTAGGCGAACGGCACGACAATAAAGCACAATATATATTGAAGCGACAACAGTCAATCAAGCGATTCACGTAGATAAACTGGTGAGGGTTATCTTTCCTTTCCACAATGCATCACGTTTTCTGGAATCCGCAAGTAGAACTTCATGTAATGCTTCGTCACACGTCGACATTGCGCAGTTTAATCATATCTTCATTGTTCGATCAAATCGCTCGTTCATTCCGTTGGTTTGCATGCTGTACGGTGAAGTTGTTCGTCTCCAAATGCCCCACTTTCAATACAGTCTGAAACGCCTGTAAATTAATGCAGGGCTCTTGGTCCGTACTAACATATTTTGAGCTGTCAGTGGCACGTTCTCTTGGCAATACATGCTCTGTCCTCCCCCTCCCCCTGGCCGTTTTTGCTACACTCGTGCTGTGACCAGTCAAGATGAAACTGACTTGGTCAGCGCAATTCGCGCATGGAGACGTGGAGTGCTGGATCGATGAATTTAGGTCATCTTTGCATACAATGGGGTCAAAGGTGACGCCAAGTTTCTAACTGCTTTGGGAAAGTTGTTGGATGAAAGAGAGAGGGCGGTGTATTTGCTCATTCGGAAGGCTGTTCATTTGCTGAGATGAGGGCAGCATTGTGTGCGGAAGGTAGGAATGAAGACAATGGACAGCTAGCAGTAGAGCAATTTTACGCAGCCAGATGGGGCGAACAGGAGGATTGGATGGTGTATTTCCAGTAGCTGGACAGACGTTTGACGATTGGGCTCCCCGAGTTGGAAGGTAACGCAAGAGAACGGTTACTCAAACAGTAATTCTTGCCAAGTCTGCCGAATGTTGGCAGCCCTGGTTGGAGAACGCAGGGCGGAGGATCTGTTGACAGTGGCCCAGAAGTTTTCGAGCGAGTGACTTTGAGAAGAGTCCAGCAATCCGAGTTGGAACACAGAGTAAAGCAAGTGTCCGGAATAGTGGAGAAGCTGTTGTCGAGTGTGCGTCCGACAGCAATTTTACAACGCAATGAAAATGGAATACAGAACGGTCGCCGCTGTGTCTGGTGCAATCAGGTGGATTAGGTGGCTAGATCCTACAGCACCTGCAATTTGTACCACTGCTTCTGTTTATCCTGGCCTAGTAGGTGGTGAGTACCGGTCGTCAGGGCGACTACTGAAGGTGCTGTCAGTCCGGGCCAGAGTGGACATGGGAGCGGGAGTGCCCATTACGAAGAGTTTCAAAGGATTTCCAGTAAATCAGTCCTCGATCGGGATGCAGACCATCGGTGGACATCGTTTGACGGTAACAAGCATATAGCGGTTGTGAATCGGTATAGGGGAAATGTTCATCAGGCATTCTATGCTGTCCGTGGAGAATACCACGGAAACAATCCTCGGCAAGGACATCCCCAAACAGCTGGATGGCAAAATTGATCTGAGAAACGATTTGGTAATCGCAGGCAAAGAGACGATTGAGATGGACACTAAGAGCGCTGATAAAGTAGGAGTCGCCAAGTTCCTGTCTGAATGCCAGTACGCTGAAATACGGAGTGTACTGAGCAAGTATGCCTAACTATTCACAGACGCAAATGATGGTTACGGTTTTTGCAGCTGGGTGGAATATGGAATACCGTTAATTCGGGAGGGCAGTGCAGGCCGATCATCTGAAGAACACCGCAGAATACGCTGACGGCGATACAAAACAGGTGGTAGAGATGGAAGCGGAAGGAATGATCAGGTGAACACCCAGTCCGTAATAATCATCCATGCTACTAAAGAAAAAGATCGATGGTAACTATCGATTTTGCATAAATTTCAGAGAACTGAACAGGGTGACAGTGAAGGACGCGTTTCCGATGCGCAAGACGGAAGAAACTTTTTCCAGCCAGAGGTGCCTGATTTCATCAAGGCCAATGCTTTGATGTCTTCTAAGCTGTCGATTTGGATAAGCGCTCTTGCGCAGAATGGATCATGAGATTAAACTGCTAAAGTTGAAGAAGGTCGAGAACCAGATGTTCTTCTACCAGCACTTAGTACAATCATTAGACCTAATATTTTTAAAACTTTCACTTTCATGGCTTCTGCTTACACTTATATTGAGGATACGGGAAACTATCCTACTGGAGTGGAGCTGCTCCAGTTTTGTCCAGATATTTAGAGATTTCTCATTTCTAGATTGCGGCTATCTATTAATACCGTCTGTTCTCCTTCGCCCCTAAGTTAAAAGCCAATGTCTCTTTGTCGTCAACCGGAAGTTGTTCCGTTTGATAATCGTAACCGACCCAAGGAGACCTGTTGTTAGTGAAACTACACGCACTGAAAGCAAACAATATATTCCAACTTGTCAAACACTTTACTAAGCAATTTAATGAGCGACAGTTCCAAGTTTCCTAACTGACCGACAATCGCCATCCTATTTTGAATTACCCCTCGATTCGCCATAACACGCTGAAGTCAAACGTGAGATCAGATAGCTATAAATGAATAAGGCCGCATTAGCAGATAGACCTGCTCCAGCTATTAAAACTCAGTAAAATTTCTCCGTTGGCTGATCTTTATAACTTACTATTGAAACTGTGAGAAAAGAAAATTGTCTAAAGAGACAGGGGTTATTCCGTTGGAGCTGAATATTTACTCTTCATGAGTGCATAAATTGCATTGTTGAAGTGAGTTGACTTGAGACCCAGGTTTCAAAGAGGTTCTAGTTCGGAATGCGAAAGTCAGAAAGGAAATAGTCTGCTCTCAACTGTCACTAAGTTACTTGCCACTGTCCATCTCCACATACTGACTAGCATACCTGAAAGCCAAATTCACGAGAAGTAATCCTGCTTCCATCAAGATTTATGCCATATTGAACCAATCTTCACAATGCGTCAGTTGTTACAACACAGCTAATTTATTGGCAACCCACCACAGTTGTGTTGCTCGACAATAAAAGTGCATTCAATGCAGTGGACCGATGTGCTCTTTCTGCCAGTTCGCTCAAGAACAGTGTACCCGAGATTTCAGCGAGTACTATCAGAGCGCATTACGCGCATATCTTGGACAGAGTGAAGGATTATGGACAGCCTTCCGCTGCCGCTCTGAACTGCCGGAGGTAAAAGAATAAGGAGCGCACTATAACCACTGCTTTCTAACTTCGACTAGATGAATACTTAGAAATTTGGTATACAATCCAATTGCGAAGCTCGGCGAACAGTTGAACCCAGTAACGATCAACCAGGGCTACCTATACATCCATTCATTTTAAGCCGTAATAAATGACTGCCACAAACGAGTAAAACAGAACTGGACATCCTGGCACTGTCTGTCAGCCGCTTTTGTCTTGGCTTCGCATGCTTGAAATGCAAAGTCCTTTGAAAACATAGGCATGAGCCCATCTTTCGCTGACTCATTGATGATACGCCAGAAATCATCAAAATCTGCTACCATAATAGTGCCTGTATAAATGAAGGTGAGAGCACAAGCGGTATAGCAATAGCTCGATGCTTTTTTTCGTATCTCAAATGGCTGGGTGCCTTCGATATCTTTCACTTCCTGAAGGGCAGAGCTTACTCCGTTCCTGTCGCTTTAATTCTCTTACCGATGGCCAGAAGGACAATTCGTCTACCTTGTAACCCGGACGTCACCGGTTCAATCCTCCCTTGATGAAATGGTGACTTTCGCGGTATACTTAGCCCGCG